TGTTTTGTTTTGTTTTGTTTTGTTTCTTTCTCTTTTGACTTCTAGATTGTACACTGGCATCTCAGACTGTCTTGCCATAGACTTTCTTTGTAAATATTAATATGAGTGTATTCATTCCTTTGACAGGAATCAAAAAATTGATGCTTTCAATAAAGGCAAGAAAAAACAATGGTTAAGAATATGTCTAGGATAATCTTTGTGTTTAGCCCCTGATTAGATGTGGGGAACAGGGTAGATGTAGGATTCAAACTTGATATTTTAAAGTTAAAATGCCTACATTTCCTAGATTTCACTTTTATAGTTTGGTTATCTACACATATTCATGTTATCTAACAAATATTCAACTAAGGGGGTGGTTCCTAGTCACGTAACAGGTTAGGTAACATAGTCTTGCACAATTGGTCTCCTTGGAGCATGCTTATTGGTTAAATTCTACCACATGCATAGGTTACACTTAGAATATTCTAGGTGCTCTCTAGTGCTTTCAGTGGAAGGTCATTCATAGGATAAACTGCTTTCTACTGAGCATGCTGAGCTACCAAGCTTACACAGGTCTGCCTCCTGTAGTCTCAGTCTCCAGGTGCTGGTATTAAAATAGGTGCTACAAACAACAGCAGCTCAGGACTCAAAGGAGGGGATTGAGCCCGAGGGGAGTGGTCTGAGCCCAGGATGGCCTGAAACCTGACCCCAGGGAAACTGAGCACCTCCTATCTCAATGTTAGTTGCCCTATCAAACAGTACTGTCAGGGATGAAACTTTGTTTTTCCAATTTCAGATGCAGATGTCTCTCTCTTTTCTTCTTCAAGGTGTTTTGTTTTGTTTTGTTTTGTTTTGTTTCTTTCTCTTTTGACTTCTAGATTGTACACTGGCATCTCAGACCGTCTTGCCATAGACTTTCTTTGTAAATATTAATATGAGTGTATTCATTCCTTTGACAGGAATCAAAAAATTGATGCTTTCAATAAAGGCAAGAAAAAACAATGGTTAAGAATATGTCTAGGATAATCTTTGTGTTTAGCCCCTGATTAGATGTGGGGAACAGGGTAGATGTAGGATTCAAACTTGATATTTTAAAGTTAAAATGCCTGCAACTAGGGCCGGCCCAGTGGCGCACTGGTATGGGGCAGCGCTCCCGCCAAGGGTTAGGATTCCACATACAGACCGGCTGCTCACTGGCTGAGCGAGGTGCGGGTGCAACACCGAGGG